ACAGCTAGATCAGAGGCAGATACGATGTGCCTACAACATAAACCTATGTAAATATATAGTAGCTACAATTACCCCACGGGAGATCAGTGTAACCTCCAAATACAAACTCCTTTTCTTTTACAATGGTAACAGTGTTTTCTTTTCCATCGCAATTTTTGTGAAATGTAGAGTCCAAGTCACCATGTGAAGACTGACGGTAACACAATAACCACTGGGAAATGTTTCCGACTTCCGGTGCAAGGAAAAGGTGCAAGTGGTGTAGGTACTGTTGATTGTTTGATAATATCGCTGAATTGATGATAAAAGCTGAAAAAGAGTCGGTGTATAATAACATTAGGATCATTAATGATAGCGTTATGAGTACAAGATGACAAAGACCTAGATTGCGTGTCGACTCTAGCACTTTGCAGTTCAGCTATCGTATTACTTAGAACAACGTGCTAAAACAATATTTACCGAGCGTGCAGTTGTGACCATCTCCAAAATATCCATCCCTGCATGTACATTTGTATGATCCAGCGGTATTGTTACAATGAGCATGTTCACTGCAGTTTTTGATGGAGCCCTGAGAACACGCGTCAATATCTATTAAAAAAATTCTTGTTCAGTGACGTCATTAACCGGTATGCATTATCTAACCATATCCTACACCTCATCATTAGCTGTAAAGCAGCCTCTGAGATTTCAGTTTCCGTACCAACAGGATTTTGGTTTCTAGATTTTTTGGTTTTTGTGAAGGGGGTGGGAGGAGCGATGAACTCTTTATCCCGCAAAACATCATTTCTGCTGGTTAAACCTCATCCAAATCATGGCTGACTATTATAATCAACCCTAACCAATTCTCTTATCGCCCTTGCTTTTTTTTGTTTTTTTGGCAACATCCATGCAGAAACCTTCGAAGCCTGTTAAACATACCCTCTTCATCCCTTTTCAATAGACCCCAATTCTTCATGACACCCATTTTCCGTGAGGTCCAATCTCGATTTGTTGTATCCAGCAACTTCTTTTCTTAACACCTTTTTTCTACCAAACAAGTATCCTTACCTGTGCAGCTGTATCCATCTCCGGTAAATCCAGGTTTACAAGTGCAATTAAACGATCCCTCAGTATTATTACACAAAGCGCCATCTTTGCTGCAGTTGTGGGTGCCTTGAACGCACTCGTCAATGTCTGAAAAAGAGTTGACAACTCCTGATATTGACCACTTCAGAGGTGTACTGTAACTTTTTTTCTACGATAATCCCAACTTGAGATTTTACGGGGAAAAAAATATACAACTAAAAAACTGGTTTCCGGAGGGACTAGTCCTGAATTATTTTGTAATACTACAGCAAAGACAATTAGTAGATCAAATGTGGGAACATTAATCGTTGATCAATGAATATTCAAAGGTATAATGGTGCATTATTATCCTTTGACGTCGTACATTTTGCACCGTTTGCATGTTCAGAGAAGTTTGGAGGGAAACAGTTCCATTGCTAATCAATTCGTGCCAAACGAGAGGGCGCAATGTTGTTGAAATATTCAGCTACGTAACAAGTGCAATAGGTTAATTCCCGACTCGGTGAACATCTTATCATTACAAACAAATTGATACAATGCTTATTTTATCTGAAGTCAATCTCTCGGGGTAAAGGATTTTTTTACTCCCAGGAACCAAGCAATGGATCCAAAGATCGCTTTTTGGAAGTAGCTAACGATGTTGAGGTTAGTTTTACAGTACCGACTATGTTTAACGACGCCCAACAAGAAAAGTTTGGTGTAGTTTCGACGGGGACTTTATCTTTTGATTTGTCCGACGGTTTACTTAAGTATGAACTAAACTAACAACGTACAGAACAATAAGAAAACAAAGAATATTCGCCAGCTAGATGTGTGCTGATCAAAAACTCGCCCAGTTTGGGTGTTGCAGTTAAGGGAAAACATTCTGCTATACAATTTCGAACTGTAGCAACAACTGTACAGAACAATAAGAAAAGAAAGAATATTAGCTACAATCTCCGACAAAAGTCTTGGCACACCTTCCCACTTTTGCAGTATCTGTCAGGGCAATTTATCAGTTCGCCCCCTTCCCCCCAATTCAATGTTGTTTATCGTGATGAAGTCGTCATTGCCCGCTTACAACATTGTCGGGGGGAAAGGGGGTTCCCTATTCTAATGATGTCATTAGGTATTGTCCCCAAAATACCCTGTCAACGCATTGTCGTGCTATCTGATCCAGGTGTGCCAAGGACTTTTGTCGAGGATTGTAGCAAGCTGTGTATTGATGATAACCTGCCCAGGTCCTTTAGGTGTTCCAATGTAGGAAAAAAAATTCCAATATTCATGCTTCGTTGATCAACGTTTAATTGAGCGATTAAACCTTTATTGATCTCGTTTTGTGAATAAATATTACGGTATCGTATTTACAATGCCGATTACGGTTGACATTATTTGCTTTATTAAATCCGGTTTGAAATCACTGGTTATCCTTGCAATCTGATTGACTCTCAGCAGTGCGATTTATTCACGAATCGCACTATTTTTTGCTCTAAATCCCATCTTTTTCTTAGCCAATGAGAATGGGACAGTTAAACAAAACAACTAATCAGGTTTCAAGGTTAGTTTAAAGTAACCAATAGAATTTTAGGAAAATGAAAGACAGAAAGCCATTGTGTGGCGAATTTTGCAACTATTGCCAAAACTTTGTTGCCGTTGTTGTTTTTCAAAACAATTGACAAAATTTAATTTAATATATTACAGTTTCTGAATGATTATTATGAGCTCCTTCAAGCTGAAGACCTGCTATAAGGTAAGTTTCCAACTTTCAGTGTCCATTTTGACGAATATTTTGGCGATTTTTCTTCATCTTCTCAAGATCCTTGTAATACGGAGTCCAGCAAAACATAAACAAACAAAAACCACACAACAGCAAATTTAGAGCAATCTGAAGAAGGTAGTTTTTTCCAGGTTTCCGGTAGTTTCAAACGAAGCAATACAAGAGTTCCACTCTGTCGCTGTGAATACACATAGTCAAAATACGCCACGCTCCACAAGGCAGTGAATGAATGAATGTCTTCGAAGCTGGTGCCAGTCCCGCCATCTTGAAAATATCTTGAAACAAATGGTGCCGCAAGAACTTGATAAGGTCATGAGTATGGAGTTCTACGCCGAGGTCACAAAAAGAAACGGAGATGATAACGAGCTGGAATCCCTTAAAATCATGCAGAGTGCCATTGAACGGTATTTAAAAAAGAAAACTATCCACTGGGCATCGTGCACTCGAGGGAGTTTCAAAACTCAAAAGAAGTCCATCGCAGTATTACATAGGATGCACCTTTAAATTCCTTCGGCAAAGACAACGAGAAGTCTAAGCCTCAACCACAGAAGAAAGGAAGGCATTTCATCATTGATTCAGGCGACGAGAATGGAACTTTTATGCATGAAGTAGACTGTTTTCGTTCTGACTTCAGTTGTTATGCTCGAATGAGTTTTCATCACATGACATCGTTTTGCATACTAAATGAGATGTAAAGGCGTTTCCGGTTCCGCTATTTTCCACAAACCGGCTACTGGAACAATATACTAAAATCTAAATATAGGGCGATAAATTGTGCGATTTCAAAATGAATCTAATAAAGTGGCAATTGAACTTTGTGTCGGGCAATTTTGGCCTGAAATCATACTTGTGATTTCAAATCAAACTTCGTTCGATTTGGAAATCACGCGGACGATTTCAGACCAAGTTGCACTCCACTCAGTTCAATTACCATTATTAAACCTAATTTTCTTACCTTTTTGCAATTAGGAAATTTCACCTGAACGGGTGGAATCATGCAGCAATTTAGAACAAGAGCTTGGAACTTTATACTAGAGAGATGTTTGCGCCACATTTTGTCTTCTAAATCATATTATTCATGTTTCCTAAAAGAGGTGCCTGCTTTTATCTTCATGGTATACGGTTGTCTGCGCAATAGCAACTACAAACTGTCCCTGGGGCAAAACAAGCTACAGAGGTAGGTTATATCATTTATTTCAAAACTGGGTTATGATTTCACTTAAAGAGGCTCAAAACAGTTTTTTTTGTTTTTTCGAGACTTGTAGAATTAGGTGCGATTTTTCAGGCTTGGAATCGTACTGTTTTGAATGGCTGTGCTATATTTTAAAGGTAAATCTGCACTGTACCTTTCATGTGTTTAAGTCATAAATTTGGGTTGCACTGTTCTGTTGCATAGCAACAAACTTGGGTCACTTTTTACCATCAATTGCATCTATCTTAAAACCTAAATCGTGGTCCAAGGAAACTTGGGCAGCTCATTTAGACAGCCTTCCCATGTCTCGCCAAGCTTAAAACTCAGTGTGCTGCAAATATTTTCCACAGTCTTCATCACAATAGCAAGGTCTACTCGTTCGCACGCCTTAGCATGGTAATAGTTCCATGCATCTTTACTGTCCATCATAACACAGGATAACCTGCGAACACGGAAGTTTTTCCGGCTCTCGCTTGTCTCCGCCGAAAATAACGTCTGCGAACCCGAGCCAGGAAACGATTTCTGTGACGTAATGACTTTTGTTTCTCTTTGGCCAATCAGATTCCATGATAGAACGAAACTCGAGTGCTCCTCGCAGCGAATACCTCGCACAGTAGTTCTGGGGTTATTTGAGCTAAACTGTGATTGGCTTAGAATTCCTACGTCACAGAAATCGTTTTCTGGTTCGGGTTCGCAGACGTTATTTTTTTCTGCGGAACCAAGTGACAGCCGGAAATACGTGCTGTATTCAGTTATAAAACAGCAACGTACGAGCAGCTTCTCCGATGGGCAAAATTACCGAGTTTAGAAAATCGAAGACTACA